AAATAGTGAATTTCCAAAAAAAATCCAAAATTGACTTTATAGTAAGTTATTTTACCAAAGCATTTTTCAATTAACAATAATTACCTACTTGTGGTGGTACTTTATAATTGAAACTTACTCCCTCCTCTCTTAAAAATGTGGGATATTTTGATTCTAAAGGTATTTAAGGGGAGTGTATTTTGATATTCAATTTGCAAAAATGTCCTTTGATGTGATGTGTAAAAATAGATCTAATTGATATGTTATTAGTAAAAAGGTATGATGTGATATGTAAGATATGAAAAGGTAAGGGGTAAAAGTGACTTTATAATATAAATAAGAAGTGTTTTTTGGGACGGATGAAAGAGAAAACATCCCATGTTTTTAGAATCGGAGGGAGTATAAATTTTTTATTCGCAAAAATTATCTATCAAATGATTATTTATACTATATTTTAGTAAGTTTCATCATCTAAATTATGATAAACTTTTCAAAACAGTCTTCTCATATTTTTTTGTAAATTACTTCTCTGAGGTTATAATTATAATAACACCCCAATTGTTGGAGGATATTGTGAAAAAATCTCAATTGTAAAGTATCATGTCGTAATTACTTCCTCCGTCCCTTAGTATTTATCCACTTTTGACTTTTTTTGCTCAAAATTGATAAATTTTGACCTCAAATTAAATAAAAGTGATATTAGATATTGATATAAAAATAGTTTTATTAGATTTATTATATAAAATGTTTTTAAAATATTATGTTATCTTATTAATATATAACATAAATTTTATTACTTATAGGTCAAAGATTAAAATTTTACAAATACTCTAGGACGGAGGTGTCAATATTTATTAAAGACTATACTATCAAGAGAAAATATCTGAATTATGATGTATACTATAAATAATTAGGGAGTTTTGCTTCTTGATGATCAATTTGGAAAAAATGGACGTTATTAGAAAAAAATCATTTTGAAAATGTACTCAATAAGAAAAAAGTTCATCAATTATTTATAAACATTCAATGAAAAAATGTTAGAAGATTGTTTTTAAAACTAATCATCTATATGTAAATTTGACTCCTAACGCTAAAAATTTGACATATGACTCTTTAAAAAGTAGCATCTGGTAATTTCTATGTGGTACTATTTTTTGACAAGTTCTTATTTAATTAGGTAAGACAATCAAAGAAACAAAAAAATGTTAGAAACTTATGGAAGATAATCAATGACAAGTTAAATAAATATTTAATTTACTTAAATAAATATTCAACGTGCACTAAAAAAAATTCAATGTTTGATTAAATATTTAATATACTACAAATAATATTTGACATAAGATTAAATTAAACTTTTACTTTTTAATAAAAATAAAATTATCAAACTTTTAATAAATCTTATACATAGATACACACACACACACAAACATATATATATTGTTGAGGACTTGTCTTGCGGTCCAAAACAAATTAAAAATTTATAAATTAACCTTAGCTAACCTCCAAAATATAGTCAAATAAAAACTATAGCTAGGGCAAATAAAAATTGATAAGACTTAATAAAACTTTTAATTAAATAAATATAAAAACTTATAAATATAACTTATATAAACAAAGAACTTATAATATAACTTAAACACAACACAAAGGGGAGGTTGAATAAAAAGTAAATATTTTTTTTGATTTTTGATTTTTCTTATTTTTTTGGTTTTTTTTGATAAAATGGGGGAAAACAAGCTCTGAAGATATTCAACTTCTCCAACTAAAGTAAACCCAAAAAAACACCACCAAAAACCCGAAACAAAATGAAAAAGAGAACAAACACAAATCAAACATTACACGTATAATAGGCACGTAGACAATATATTACGTAACTTACGCACTTAGGAATAGAAAAAATCAATCAAAGGCCGAGTCAATTCATTTCCTTAACCACGATATGGAGGATTGTCAACTCTCCACACGGCCCGGAGTCATGCAATTCAAAGGCCAATTTTGAAATATACCTTAGAACCCTAACTCTCTATTCAAGCATGACAACATACTTCCACTATAGAAAAAATTTATAAAAGAGAGAATCTATTATGCATTCAACTCTCATACATAATCTATTCACAAACCGCCAATACCTATGCATTTTAACAAACTTTTTCTCCTAATGATGAGCACATTTCACAGATTTCCATGAACTTCTCAAACCAATGACGTTTTTTCTATTCACATAAATGAACACAACATATTTTCAATTAATCAAGAATTGTTTTTGAGCTTAAACAACCTCAAATTAACGAAAATAACAAACAAACATACGAGAAAATAAACAATCACTCAATAACGAATTTTAAGGATAATAAATCAACTTATGGGGCTAAGAAGTCCAAAATTCTTAAAATCAACAAACACAATGCACAAAAAAGATTCACGTATGAATTCGCAGTTCATTTAACTACCTTATGGAGCTAAAATAGCTTCAACAAAAACCGAATTCTACATACCAACCTACTTATGAAATCAAATTATACAATTCAACCAATTCAACAACAACTTGCTCAATAATTGAAGAAAAACTAGTTTGAATCAATTATCATTCATAAGGGATTTAATATAAACATTAAAAAAAACCCAAAAAGAAGAACACCAACCATTTTTAGAATATTTGGAATAAACACAACAAACAAAAAATGTAAAAATTGAACAAAAAGCAAACTTTTACATAAAATTAGAGAAGAAAAGATAAAATTGACAAATAAGAGTTACCAATTGAAGAAGATGAACAAATTGAGTAAACTAGAGCTGTGATGGAGGCTGCCCACCAGAGGTGGAGCTGCTGCGCGTCTGCCAGCTGTTCGCCGCGCCGCCTGCCACCATCGCCGGCGACCACCATCGCCGGCGACCACCATAGCAGCGGCCAAGCCGCTGCTTTATTCTCGTTTTATTTTCTGTGTGAATTCCCCCCCTTTTTCGATTGCAATTCCTCTCCCATTTATAGCAAGAGGATTCTTCCCGCTGGCATTCTTCCGTTGGAGAATTGAGTGAAGAGCGTAGAAGAAGGAGAGACGTTGGAGCGTGTATATCCGTTCTTGCGTTTGAAGAGGAAGTCGCAGATCCCAATCTTTTCTTCACGCGTTGAATGAAATCAGAAGAGAAGATGTTGGGCTGGGTTTTGTTGTTGATGGGTTTGGGCTTCGACCCCAATTCAATCTTTTTTTCAAACTTGATCTTCAATTTGGCCTTTTGCTACACTTTTTTCCAAAAATAAGATATCTGATAACTTGGGTTAGGAAAAATAAAATAAAAATAATAGAATGTAAAAAAGTGATTAAAAAGCTACTATTTATGAAAGAAAATAAAAAGAATGTAAAAATGAAAATTATAATAAAACTAAGCTAAACAACTAAAAATTAAACTCTAAAAATATTAAAAAGGAATAAAAAGGAATAAAAAGAACCAAACCAAACCCAACTTATCATACACACACACACATATAGATTTTGGTTCATATGAGAATGCGATCTTATGAAAGAAATAACAATGAATCCGGTAGTTAGATTGTGAGATCTAAGGGTCAAGATTGCATCAAAATTAGGTGCACCAAAATGGTTTGAAAATGCACCATGTCGTAGTGCACCAAACTCCCTTGAAAATGCACTATCTCAAAATCTTAGTGCAGGATGCAATCTGAGCCGCACAATGCATCAGATCCAAAGACAAGATTTTATTCTTATTTCTTTCACCAAGGTGCATTCTCACCTGAACCGGCCCATATATATATATATATATATATATATATATATATATATATATCTATGTATGTATGTATGTGTGTGTGTGTGTGTGTGTGTGTATTTTAATCTCTATATTAATAATATATCAAACAAAAGAGTAAATTCCATAAAAAGTCTCCGGTTATTGGTCGCTTTACATATTGAGTCCATACATATTAAATATCAATAATTTAGTTCCCAATTATTTTATTATTTTCTACAAATAGTCCTTTGTTAACATTTATGTTAAGCATATGGACAAAATTGCATAGTCACACTCCCCGCTCTTCAGTTAAGCTTTTTCCCTCCTCTCGTACTCATTCACAAACTCATCGCTGAGTTTGTAACTCTAAACCCAAAACCGAAACGATTACTCCTCTCTCAAATATTCATCTTCCTGGTGGAACCCAAAATTGAAATAAAAAACCTTCATGGATGAATTTTATGGGTTAGTATCAGTAAATTGCAAAGAATACAAACCTCAAAACTCATTCATGAAGGTTACTGATTTCTATTTTGGATTCCATCAGAAAGATGAACAATTGAGAGAGAAGAAATGATTTTGGTTTTAGGTTCAAAATTTCAAACTCAGCGATGGGTTTGGGAAAGAAATGCGAGAGGAGAGAGAAAGCTTAATTGAAGAGAGATAAGAGCATGAATCTATCATTTTATCCATGTTTTTAATGGAAATGTTAACAAAGGATCATTCATGGAAAATAATATAATAATTAGGGACTAAATTATTGATATTTGATATGTAGGGACTAAATATATATCACTACAAGAATCTGTCAGATCTGCCACGGAAAATATCTGTCGCAGTTCCTTAAATGCCGTCGCAGATTTGGGATCTGCGACAGACTTGCGACGTACGACGCACCGTCGCAGATAAGTCATCGCAAGAGATTATTCTGCGACGGACACATTTCCATCGCTGATCTGCGACGGTGAGTGGAGAATCTGGCCGTACTGGTTTTCTGCGACGGACACATATTTCCGTCGCAGATCTGCGACGGCGTGGAGAGCTACGATTTCTGCTGGTTTTCTACTACGGAGGCTTGCCGTCGCAGGTCCGTCGCAGAAGGCATCATCCCAGACCAGTAGAAATGGTTTCTGGCAGTTTACAGTTTCTTTGTTTTTTCTCAAATATCAGCAACATAGCATTCATGGGGATGAGGATTACGAAAAACACAAATTGTAACATAACTAAAAACAATTTTTTAATACTAAAGTCAATCAAAAACCACATAACAAATACAAATTAAGTTAATTTTAATGTATTGTATGCATAAACATTTCAGTGAGATAATATGCATAAACATTGATAATGTTTTCAAACTGTCTAACAAATGTCTCCTGATTGCCCTGCTCCTCCATTTCCACCGTCATCGTCTTGTGGTGGATAGTTATCACCATATAACCTTTTCAAATTTTCTTGCATGGTGGTGAATTTAGAGGTGAGGGCATCAAACTGTTCCTGGAGGCGTTGGATATGCTCTTTTAAGGCCTCAATTTCAGTCTTGCTACTAGCGGAAGAACTAGAGCGACGACGGGTGGATGACGGCTTCAACTTTCTCATTTGACGCTCATAGTCACCAACTCGAGGCACCTGATTCTTTGCATTGTGGCCCTGGACTAGCAAGTACCATATTTCTTGGTCGGTGACATTGAGTCCGTTCTTCCTTGCCTCATCACGAAGAGTAACAAACCGAGCCTATTAATACACCACAACAACATCACCCAACTAATAACAACATCAAAGAAACAATAATAACAAGATAAAAAACAACAAAAATTACAACATAATGTCACCGAACTAGTAACAACAACACAAACACCAATAATAGAAATAACAACAACATCAACGTCACCTATAGTAAGTACTAACAACATTACGAATAGTATTGTAACAACATCAACAAGACTAAAACCAATAACAACAATATCAATAATGTCAGCTATACTAGTAGGTATTAACAACATCACAAAGAATAACATTAGAACATCAACAAGACTAAAAACAATAACAACACCAACCAATATGAACAATGTCACCCATACTAAGTATTAACGACATCATGAAGACTAAAAACGACAACATCACCAATAACAACATCAACAAGAGTAACAATAACAATCACAACAACACTATCAATGATCAACAACATTAATCACAATATCATCATGAACTTCAAGAACACCACCACCAAAAATATCATAAACTATTAGAATGATAGTACCCAGAGATCAGCATTAGCTGGATCAACCCAAGACTGTCCGTCATGCTTTTTCGTCTTCATATGGACAATGCCATCTTTCAACGAGACAGGCGTTCCTTTCTTGGCAACCTGCAATATTAAAAGCGGATACACATTAAACCTTAATTATATTCAATATATACTACTTTGTGATTCTTTATTTTATGCCAAATACTTTACCAGTCGATTCAAATTCTCAGAAAATGAGACCGTGCCTCCAGTGTAAGTCCCAAGAGCAAAGCCATCCTCTCTACCCTTGCGTCTATTCTTCTTCTTTCTCTTACTTATATCCTGAAACTCTGATGCATTCCAACCCTATTGACATTTACATAATACAGTTAACATGTGTGTGAAGAAATAAAGGGTTTGTATACCATAACACTTTACCTCTTGCAACGCCTCAAATGCCCCCGGATCTACCGACTTCTTCTTGACTCGACCGTCAGTCCTCTGGTTGTACATGTATCCAGAATACAAACCTGCAGCCCTCTTCAAGAACGCCTCCCTCATCCGCCCCTCGTCAATCTCCGGACTCCATTTCACCCGTTTCTACATTCAAACCATAAGAACATATTACCTTTTAAAATAACTTACTCAGGTTTGCATCCAAATATTAACCGTATGTAAAACAATATAAACCTTAAATTCTCTAAAATAAAAGTCTCGGTAAGACTCTGAGACGTCAGCCCATGATTTTCCCGCCGGGTCCGTCTTCATCGCGAATCCCGGCGTTATCTTCCCAGCACCAGCACGCGTGATGACAATCTTGAACATATAATTCATTAAAAATAATTAAAGAGACAAAATAGTATAAGCCAAACCATTGAATGATAATAATATAATCACTTACTCGTCATCGGAATTGACGTACACGTACCGGTTGCCCCCCACGCCCTCATCATGGTGTTCATCCAGATCATGCTGCTCCTACTCATTGAGCTCCTCTTCTAATTGCTCGAGATTCCTCCCCCTGCTGAAATGAGTTCTTGTTTATTCCAAAAAACAAACTACAAATATTGATCTTGTAAACCTCAAAAACTGTACATGGAGTACAAGTTTCTGACGTCTCTGTAACGGGGGTGGTAGGTGAGCTCTCAAAACCTCTCAATGCTCCTGATGTTATAGAGGGCGATGAAGCTTGAGCCCTAGAGGAGCCTGCCCCAGAGGAGCCCTCACGAGAAGAGAACCTCCAATCGCCAAACAGGTTCCGCCGGAGACGTTCCAACCCATTTATCGGTGAAGGTTGGGAGTCATCATTACCATTACTCATCTGCAAATAAACACATTAAATCTAAGGTTATCTCATAAAGAATAATCTAAAACAATTAAGATAACAGAATGAGAAAAAAGAAATAATAATATAACAAACTTAAACCACGTTTACTATTCATTCAAAGGAATCGTTGTTCGGTGTGTCTTCTATTTCTTCTTCCGAGTCGTTAGAGATTAGTATTGGTTCTTCCTCTTCGCTGTTCAATTCATCATCGGCAAATTCAGCATCTCCATCAATGGATAGAACTATTGCATCATCGTTGCTTTGTTCGTCTTCTACTATGCCAGTTCTCTCGATCTCATTTGCTTGAAAAGGTTTGTGATGCCCATTCTCTGTGGGTTCAACAACGTTTTTTATGTTGACCCACCCCCTCCGTTGCACTTCGCACACCGCCACCCACTTACTCTTACTCTTTTGCGTGCAGGGGTACTCCACATAGGCAACTTGGTTCGCTTGTGACCCAAAAATAAAAGGTTCGTAACGATTAAACTCTCCCTTCTTAAGAACCTCAACCAAACCATACTTCTCGTGCACCTTCGTCCCACGATTTAAGAGAGGGTCATACCATCGACACCTAAACAAGACACATCGTTTAAGAGGCAATGCTGGGTACTCAACGTCAAGTACTTCCTCCAATACTCCATAATAATCCCCATACTCTCCTGTGATAGAGACCCCACTGTTGTACGTTGTACGGTTTGACCCGACAACGGTGGAGAGGGGTCACGAACGGCGTGCGAGAGGCATTGACGAGAGGCAACACAGATGGAGGCTGCGCTGCAAGAGGCGCTGACGATGAAGGGGTCCGGCGAGGCTCAGTAGGCGGCGCGGTTGAGGGCAACGAGAGTCACTAACGGTGAGGGGATCTAGCGGCGAGAGGCGCGGTTGAGGGCGGCGAGTGGCACTGCCGGATAGGGTTTCGTTTTTGGAGTGAGTCTGACAGATGAAAGGAGAATAAGTGTGGAAGTAGTAATACTATGCGACGGAGAGAATTTCCGTCGCAGGCCCGTCGCTGTTCCGAGAGACCGAAATGAATTTTAGAATTGTTTTGTTATTTGCGACGCCTTTGGTTTTTCCGTCGCAGACCAGCGACGGATTTATGTACATCCGTCACAAATGTTATGTGGAACATGATATTTGAAATTCCGTCGCAGGGTCGTAGTAGATTTGCGACGGAGGAGTGTCCGTAGCAGATATCCGTTGCAGATCCAGCACATTCTTGTAGTGTATGTAAAACGAGCTAAAATTGGGGACTTTTTATGAAATTATTCTAAACAAAAAATTAGGCTAGATTATTATTTTTAATTTTCAAATGTTAAATCAAATAATTTTAAAAAGAAAATAATATTTTCACGGTCTTCAATTCAATTGTAGTACCCTTACAGATGTAATTATCAATGAGTTGTGAAAAATGGTCTTCAATTCAACTGTAGTACTGTAAACAAAGTCAGAGAGCAAGTTTGCATACCGAAAGGTAGTTTTTGAGAACAAACTTTTCATTTCAATTCTTACAATTCAATTCTAAAATTTGAATTCATGAACTTTAAATGACAAGAGTAAGAATATGGATTCCCAATTGAACGTTATTATGAGTTCAAAATAGTTTTTCAAAAAGTTTTACTCCGTAATTCAAACAGTTTTTATATCAAACTTTTCAAATAGTATTTATTCAAAAACGACTTTTACATGTTCATTTCCTATTTTTTTTGAATGCTATTGACTTTATTACAAGGTAGTATCTGTTCAAACTATTTTCAAGCTAATGACGCACAAAGAGCCAATGTTGCTGCCTTCGCTAGGGCTCGAACCTATGTGAACTTCCCCATGAATCCTGGGGAGTGGCTTACTACCACTCAAGCCAGGGAAAAAGTTCTGTTCATTTCCTAATTTATATAGTACTTTATCAGGAAATGATATATGTTATATCATTCCTTTATTTTTTAATGCCTATGTTTTAGTTTATTTGATTTTCAAATAATGCTATAATAAAGAAAATCTGCAGAATCGAAAAAGATTTCATTTCACCTCGTGCATTATATAGGTTAAAATACTATTATTAGAAAATTTTGTGAGAGAAGTCGTTGGGTTCTTTAAAGTTTTTATTCAAGTGGTCAAATTATTCTATTTTGTTGTTATTATTATTATTATTATTATTATTATTATTATTATTATTATTATTATTATTATTTAGATGTTGTTCTTTAGGGCTTGAACTCTTAACTTCCATTTTTTTCTAGTTCCTTCCAGTTTCTTCCAGTTCTTTCCAGTTTTTTCCAGTTCCTTCCAGTTTCTTCCAACTATTCTCATTTTCTTCAAACTTTTTCTACTCCTTAACCAATTACTCTAAAAATGATTTATTTTAATGTGATTATTATTATATTATTATTATTACAACTGTTATGTTCATAACTATAGTTTATAAATTATTGTTTTCATCTCACTATTTTTACTATTTACACTCATTTTTTTCTTCAACTTTTTAATATGAATAAGACAATTTTTTGTATATTAGTCTACATGATAAAACAGGAAACCATCAATATGTTAAATTATATTAAAAAATTATGATAAAATAGTGACATTGAATGATTTTTTAATCTAACTTTATATAAGACTTTTCACCTTTCCCTTTATTACTTAAAATTTGCTCATTTTTCTAATTTTTATAATACAAGTTGTAAGTCAAAATAGTTTAGAGAAAACACTAAAATAGGAGTAAAACATAAAAAATGTAAAAAAGAGTTCTATGTCTTTATTCCAAAAACACGACTTCAATGAAAATAAAATGTTAATCATGAAAGAAAATAGGTTTGATTACATTATGTGACATGTTTTATATCTATAACAAAATCTTGTAATATATAAATTTATAATTATAAATATATTATTTATAATAAATACTGCATAAATAAATTGAGGAGCAATATAACCACAAATACTTTTTAAAATTTAATATTTTTATATTTATGCTAACTTTATACTCCCTCCGTCCCTCATAGATGTTCTCAATAGCCCTTTTTCTTTGTCCATAATAGATCTTCTCATTTCATTTTTTTAACAATTAAAATACAACAACTACCCCCACTTACTTTATTTATTACACCTCACCCACCTCATTTAATACACTCTACCCATTTTTCATTAAGGGTATTATGGTAAATTTTCACCTTTTTTCAACTCTCCTTAAAAATCTCCAAAAGTCAAAATGAGAACATCTTAGGGGGACGGAGGGAGTATTATAATAAGTTTTTGCAAAAGTAGTTTTTTGTATTTAAAAAATAACAATATTTTTTTTGTATCTTAAAGACATTGATTAAGATAACATGATGATGATGATGATCATAATGATGATGATGATGATGATGATGATGATGATGATAATAATAATAATAATAATAATAATAATATAAAACATCAAGAATTTAAAATAATTTTTATTAAAGTTCTTTTAGGTTTTCCAATTTTTTGAAGTTTTTCCAGTTCCTTCCAGTTTTTTCCAGTTCCTTCCTGTTTTTCCAGTTTATTCCAGTTCCTTCCAGTTTTTTCCAGTTTCTTCCAGTTCCTTCCAATTTTTACCAACATCATGTTCTTTTTTTCCAGTCCTAACTAATAGGCTCTTAGTAGCTGTTAGTTATTTATTTCATCTATTTTCGGATACCCATTGTTTAGTGTGTTTTTAGATATATTCCAAATATTGTAAGAGTATATAAATTTTATTTTGTGGTCAAATTTTGTGAGAGTATATAATTTTTTTTCTTTAAAATTTTATACCAATATTCAAATAAACTAAAACATGAGAATTTAATTATATACTACTAAAACATAGTAAGTTTTCTAATGTAGTACTATTTGTTTTAATATCTCAATGTAGTACAATTGTACATTGTTCGATGTCCACTGGATATTGTTTAATTACAAGTCCACCGCCACTAGATATTGTTTAAAATAAATATCTACCAATACTGCATATTGTTCCCGCCACTGGACTGTGTTCGAATATTATTTAGAAAATAAAAAAAATTATATACTACATTGAGAAAGATAAATTTTGGTACTATTTGATGCAAATTTCACCTAAAGCATCCTACTGCATAAACCGTTGTGTAAGAACAAAGAGAAAGGGGTCGTGTGTCTATCATTTTGTCTCAAAATAAAATTCTTATTTTCTCTTCAACTCTAACAATGTATAAAATTTTATATTTCTTGAAATGATTTTATTTACAAATCTATATAGAAATAAAATACAATTTACATATTTAAATTTATATAAAAATTCTATTTCTTCCATCCAAAAAAAGAACATTATGCAAAAGTTATCGAAATTCTAAGATTTTTCAATTTATTTTATTTAAAGATTGTTATAAAAATAAAAATAAATAATAAGATCAATATATCTAAAAATTATGTCAAAAGTGTTGGATTTCTATGATGAAGAACACTGCGAAGCAGTGTTAAACGAAGAACTTGATAGTATAACGAATCGCGTATGAAACGCTTTCAGATCAAAGTTATTTCGGGGTATACAAAATACTTCAATCGGATAAGACGTTAAACAAGAACAAGCACTAAAAATCGGTCTCTCAACCCATACCACGAGACTCTATTTTATAGAGTCGAAAATCCTTATGATTGGACATGAACGTTCGCGTAGACGTACGCGTGCGTTCGCGAAAGGAAGAAGAAAGGCGCGAGTTTGAATGATAATATCGTTGAACGAGCGCGCCCCCTGGACGCCGCTAGGGGCTGCCGCCCCCTGGACTCCCGCAGTGAATTTATAATATCGTTGAACGAGCGCACTCCACGCCTCCTAACTCATTTGACAACGTCTATTTAAATTCTTGTCCGACCAAAGTAAATCCAATTACACAAAATAAACCGATGACACTAAAATCACCAATAAAAAGTTCTACAAAATCTAAGAGCACCGGCAGCGGCAATCCAAAAGGATTCCACGCCGTGCCACATCAGCATATTAAGGCATGGTGCCTTGCTTTTCCAAAGGGTTTCACCTAATTCCCATGGCATATGCGAGTCATTTTTTAAGGAGTGATGTAGTATTTATTTTTATTCTGAAAGGATTGGAGAGTAGATATGGGGTGCGGATATTACTTGCCAATGTAGAATTTGTCACTCCACTCATGTGACACATGTTGACTAGATTAATTTTTATTGGTTAAAATATGTCATGCCAGCGTGTGGTATTCTATTTTTGCGTCATCATTGCTATGCTCTAAAGGGCAAGAATTACACATTTACACTTGTTTTATTAAATAGGGAGTAATCAATAAAAATACCAAAACAAACAAAGGTCTCTTGATTTTTAAAAAGTCAAATGTTGCATTGGTTTCGGAAAGAATTGAAATATCAAACAATTGCCTTTTTTTTTGTGGGATATGCTAGGAGTACACCAAAAAGTGTACCCCAAATGTACACCACCCTCCTACTAACCATTCATTTTATTTTTTTTATTTTTAAATTTTTTTGAAAATTTCTTGCTTTTTTTGTTTGGTGATGGAGGGGGTGGGGATGTTTGGGGTACACTTTTGGTGTACCCCTAGCATTTTCCTTTATTTATATTTAAAAAAAATTAATTTTGGGAATTTAAGGAGTATATAAAAGGTCGCAGCAGCTAGAGAGAACGGCAAAGTCTCTAAGGCGTGTTTTGCTCCCGGAGTGTAGAGAGAGAAAATCCCCCAAATAAATTCGAACCATTCAGAGAAGGAATTTTTCCGGCAACCCGAAGCTCCGAATGGCGAGTTGGACTCGCTGAGTTGACCGGATTCCGACCACCCTCTTTTCAACTCGCCGCCGTCATCGTTTCCCCTTCCTCGCCGGAGTTTAAGCCGCCGGGAAACATGGCGTGGCCCACTTACTTGGATGAATACGAAAAGCTCGTCATTCGCATGAACACTCCCAGGTAAAATCCCGAATTTCACCACAGTAAATTTCCCGATTTCCCATTTTGCCCTGAACATTTAAATTAAAATAAACCCTCTGTTTCCAAGAATTTCCCAGTCCTAATTTCGAACTATTTAATTAAATATTCTTAATTACTTTCCAAATGTTTAAATTAAACCCATTATTTACTTACCATAATTTTTTTAAAAAAATTTGAATATATTTTTAAATTTTAATTTATGAAAAGATTATAGCGTGGATTTCAAGAATGTTTGACTCGCTCACATGTCCCAGCAAACTCACTCAAATTCCAGTTGTATCTCGCTGGCTTTTCCGGATTTGACCATTATACCCTCGCTAAAACATCTCTGTCTTTCCTTTCCCAGGGTCATGATCGACAATGCAGGTTGCCCCACCGCCACCCGCGTCATGGTAACTCTTCCCCTCAAAACTCAAAAATTGTCTCAATTTTATAATTTTTTTTTGTTTCTAAAAATTAAAGATGCATTCTTGTTTAATATGATTCACTACATTTATTACCAAATCAAATAATAAAATTTATATATTTAAAAATTACATCTGAATGTCAACGTAACAAGATTTGACGTTATTTGTCGCTATAAGTCATATTTTGGTGTAAAAATTTGAAATTTCTAATATAGTATAAGTCCAATTTTGGTATAAAAATATTTTCCACTTTATAATATGATCTTGTAATGGTAACTCTATCTTACCAAATATTTTCCACTTTATAATATGATCTTGTAAGGGTAACACTTTAAAGACGTACTTACCAAATAAATTTCGAAATTGTTATGATATTTATTTTATTTTTTTGATTTAATTTTGTTAATTTTTTTTGAATTTATTTAAAGGTGGATAGTGCTAGAAAGCATGGGATTCTTCTGGAAGCAGTTCAAGTCCTCACGGATCTGAATCTTTGCATCAAGAAGGCGTACGTTTCCTCCGATGGTCGGTGGTTCATGGACGGTGAGCGCATTTTAAGGATACTCTGTTCCTCCCACTTTTTTATTCTGCGCCACTTTTCCGGCGCAGGATAACGCTATTAATTTATTTGGAATGTTAATCGATTCCTTTGTTGGCCGGTAATTGTCATTTATGTCTTTGATTCTTTCCTTAATTACGACGTTTTAACTTTTTTTTTGGGGTTAAATTTCGGACAGTGTTTCATGTAACCGATTTTGACGGGAACAAGTTAACCGACGACAGTGTCATTAAATACATCGAACAGGTAATTTTGTAATTAAAGTAAATTGATTACCATGTAAGTGCGTTTGGGGCTAAATAAGCTAATGATTTATTTTTAATTGTGACTTTTAACAGTCGTTAATGAGTGCTCCCCAGTCGAGTTCGAAATGCTTTGATGGGTTGACGGCGTTGGAGTTAACGGGGACGGACCGGATCGGGCTGTTGTCCGAGGTTTTCGCGGTGCTGTCGGATTTAAAGTGCAATGTGGTTGAATCCAAGGTGTGGACCCACAACGGGCGGATCGCGTCGTTGATTTACCTCAGGGACTGCGACTCGGGGTCCACGATCGAGGACTCGGAGAAGATGGAGATGCTGGAGTCGAGGTTGAGGAACGTTTTGAAGGGCAAGGGGGAAAACGACATTCGGAGCGCGAAGATGTCGGTTTCCATGGCCGATACCCACGCCGAGAGAAGGCTTCACCAAATGATGTACGCGGATCGGGATTACGAGACGAAGCCCGCGGTCCCACTTGTGTCTGTCCTCAACTGCATCGAAAAGGGTTATTCGGTCGTAAATGTTCAGTGCAAAGACCGGCACAAGCTTCTCTTCGACGTGATTTGTACTCTCACGGATATGCAGTATGTTGTGTTCCACGCCACGGGCAATACAACCCGTGACAGGGCCCACTTGGTACGCACAATATTCTCTTAAACCCATTGTCATATTCTTAAACGAACACGTAGCGGTGAATTTGTCAAAGCAACCAAAACTTTGAATTTGTGATTATAGTGTATCAAAATTTGCTCAAAGTATTTTGCTTGTTTTTGAATCAGGAGTTCTTCATTCGACACACGGATGGTAGCCCGATTCGGTCCGATGCTGAAAAACAACGCGTTATTCTATGCTTACAAGCTGCCATTGAAAGAAGAGCCTCCGAGGTAATATAACTTTTTAATCTTATATTAGTATGGTTTTAGTGTTTATTAGCTAACATGAGTATTTTGACCACCTTAAGATCAAAATATGACCAAATCAACATTGAAACTGATCTCCTACAATGAATCATCATCCTCGTAATCCCTAGCGTAAATGCACCTAGTTCTAGCTAGTATCTGTTTCGTTAACAACTTTTGTAGTTTGAAAATATTATCAGAGGATAGCGTTTAGCTTTAACGATCTTAAAATTAAACGACACCATTAAAAAAAATTTCCAAAACGCTTATGTTGATTGAAAACATTGTTCCCACACAGGGTACGAGGTTGGAACTATGCACAGGCGACAAACCGGGGCTACTAGCCGAAGTGATGAGGACCTTCCGGGAAAACGGGCTAAACGTGACCAGAGCGGAGATATCAACTGAGGGTGACACCGCGTCAAACGTCTTCTACGTCACGGACGCGAGCGGGAACACGGCGAGCCCACAAGTCATCGAAGCGGTCCGAGAAAAGATCGGCGAGGGGGTCTTGAGAGTGAAGGAGCTGCCAATGCCGTGCGGCGAAAAGGAGGCGGCAGAGGAGGAGGAGAGGTACGAGGGGTTTGGCGGGACGATGCTGCTCTCGATCGGGAGCATCGTCCGGCGGAACCTCTACAACTTGGGACTCATCAAATCTTGTTCTTGAATTCTTGTTTGGGGGGACCAAACTAAAAAAAGAGTGTGTGTACATAGGAAGAGTACAGAGAAAGTACTAGGGATTGGTTTGGCAGTTGTTTTTAGTACTTTTTACAGAGCTGGTAGAACATGAAAACATGTGGTTGTGTGGGACCCATCTCTCCCATGCCAGATCAATAGGTTGAAATTTGGTAAAAAAGTGGTGTGGACATATGAATTGGTTGTCACAAAAATGGTGTACAAAGTTTTGACATTACTCATTTTTGTTTCGATCGAAACGATTTTACATGATTTTTCTCAATATTTGTAAAATCGTTCGTTAAAACAAAAATAAGTAATGTCAAATTTAGGATACCATTTTTGGGTACAAAATAGGTATGTTTTTTTTTCTGAATTGGTTTCATCTGATTTTTCACTCGTATGTTTAGGGAGAAGATAGAAATAGGGGACAAGCTGAATATTGATCTGTACATAGGCACAACTTTTATCTTAATTGAATGTTTTGACTTTTGTTCAATTGTCTCTCTATATTGCTTTAATTATGTCCTAGGACATGTTTTCTACCTTTGATTTGATTGTTTATGGATTTGAGTTTATTAAAATCTTTTCTAATTTCTTTTGATTTGATTTTTGATAAAGTAAAATTTGTTTTTTCGTTTGATCTTGTTTGATTTCAAAAAAAAAAAAGCACAACAATGTGAATATTAGTTAAAGAGAATATATTCTAAGAGTCTGGAAAGAATAATTGTTTTTAGTTATTTCATCTAAATTCAAAGACTAATTATTGATTATTAGAGTTTAAATTTGGAATTTGGATTATTCTAGAAAACTTTATATGAATATTTTACTCATTTGAATAAAAAATTGTCTTATTTTATTTACTATTTCTAAAACTGAGCATGTGATTTTAAAAAAATTCTCTCATCTAAATAAATTTTAAAATTTTAATTATTTATTTTTATCTTTTTCTAAAACTTTTATGAGAGCCAAATAAAAAAGTAGAGTCGATTTTAAATGGGACAAAGCATGCTCTTCAACCTAAGTTTAATTTCTTAAATGATGATCATCTATATAAACGATAAATCTCATCTCCGAGAGCCCTTCAGAATTGGTTAGAAGATCATTTGAAAGAGAGTAAATTAGATTTTAATCATTGATTGATAATAAATAGTGGATTCTACATTTTATACTTACAGTGACACTATTATTATCATAATTGTCTTGAGTACAATGGCATAAATCAAGCTCAAGATTATCACCTGGACATCTTTTATCTTGTCAACTATGCAACCACTGGCGTAATAATAGTGTAAAAAAGTAAAAGTAGAAAATCTTACAAAAAATAAAAGTATGCCCCAGTCAAATAAAAAATTATTTCCAAAAGAGTAAAATTATTTAAATAGAATATAACACTAAAGTATTTTTTTACTCCGTAATACTCTAGTGATACGGAGTATTAAATATACTTCGTACTATGTAGTTCATTCAGTGTTATATTTTACTACTTTTGAAAGATTTTATTTTATTTTTTATATAAAACTAATTTTTTCATCATAATCTTGGATCCCCCAAATCCCCGCCTTAGTATATCTTGGATCCGCCAGTGTACACAACACCTAGAAACAAATGATGATCACCCTCTCTTGTTTTTTCTTCCCATGTTTCAAACACCATGATTTTTTGGAAGGCATACATGATACTTCCTCCGTCCCAAATTATTTGTCACATTTCTATTACCGAGGTAAAATATCAAGTTTTTTCAATTAATTTTATTTACATATTGGTAAAGAAATAAAAAATAAAAATTACATATCAAAAAACAAATGAAAAGTTCTTCGGAATAAGAGGTGTCAAGAATATTTTATTTTATCAAATAACCAATGAAAACGTCGAAATAAACAAAAGTTCTCGCGACTGCTAAAAAAACAAATATTGTGAATATTTAGGGACGGAGGGAGTGTTAAATATATAAAATATATTTAATATTATTGTATTATGATTTGTTTCCATAGTTGTATAGTTTCCTAGAATATCTTTCCTAACATAACTAGGATTGAGACCTTGTATATATATACATGTATTCCTTTCATAATTAATCAATGAAAATACCACTTCTTCATGGTATCGGAGCCTAACTAAAACTCTAAAATATCTTCCCTAGTTTCGGCCCTCCCCTTACGCCGAACCACCACTTGCGCCGCCGTCTCCCTCCTCCTCTCTTCACGGCCGGCAGCTTCCTCCCCCTCCTACAATGGCCGAAAGTGAAATCACCTCTCAATCCTCCACCCAAAAATCTCCACATCTGGCTTTCTCCGTCTCTAATGTCAAACTCCATGTTCCAATCCAACTCAGCTTTTCTCAACCAAACTACAAAAAGTGGAGCCGCTTGTTCCTTCTTCTTGCACGGCGGTTCAACCTTCAGGGTTATCTCAACAGTTCTATTGCTCCCATCTCCGACGACGATGATGAATGGTTTCAGCTCGACGCCATCCTCCAGGGCTGGATTCTCTCCACCATCACTGATGAAGTTTCTGATCTAGTTCTTTCCTCTGTTTCTACTGCTTCTGCTCTATGGACGGTGATTCATGACCTGTTTCACGACAACAAACATGCTCGCGCCATGCAACTCGAGCATCAAT